ACAATGGTGAGGATGGCTCAGGATCAGGCAGTGTTTTGTTCTGTTGTGCAAAAGTTGCTATGAGTCAGAACCAACTGTAAGGCACTGAACAACATTTTCAAAATGCTATTACCTCAGAACAATTTTTTTCAAATAGAAATACTGGCAACACAACAAAATTTCAAAGTAGAAACTAATTCAGTATTTAAAGTCCTGAGTACATTCCAAAGTCAATATAGAGCAGGTGGTGTTTCATTTTAAATCTTAGATTGTTGTTAAGTGCCGTCAAGTTGATTCTGACTCACAGTGACCCTGTATATAGGTTTCTGAAGAGTGGCTAGCGAGTTGGAACTACTGACCTTTTGGTTCAAATCCGATCTTACAGTCAAGTGCTTATCCTACAATGCCACACACCAGGATAATTTCCCCAACCAAAAAAATATATATATATCCAGAGACGGGCCTAGGTTTATAAGAACTAACTAGAGGAGCTTATTCTTCAGAGAATTTCTGAAGATATTACCTCTTTATACCTCATCTATAAAATGTTGTTATTGTTGCTGTTAAGTGCCGTCAAGTCAGTTCCAACCCATAGTTACCCTGTATAGGGTAGCAGTTGGTGAGCTTGAACCGCTGACCTGGGAGTACAAGCCTACTTTGCAGTCCAGCGTATTAACCCACAGCACCTTACCAGGACTCCTTAGATTGTATTAGGTTTTACCTTTCATATACCCTTCATAAGGTATATGATGACAAAATGGTAAAGTCTTACCTTTCATATACCTTTTATAAACCATAGTGACAGAATGGTAAAGTTCTTGGCTATTAACCAAAAAGTCAGAGGCTTGAAACCACCAGCCACTCCAAAGGAGACAACATCTGGCAGTTTGCTACTATACAGATTGTTGTTGTTGTGATGTACTGTGGAGTTGGTTCTGACTCATAACAACCCTGTATAGGGTTTCCAAGGCTGTAAATCTTTATGGGAGCAGAAAGCTTCATCTTTCTTCTGCAGAACAGCTGGTAGTTTCTAACTGCTGACCTTGTGGCTCTCAGCCCGATTTGTAACCACTACACTACCAGAGCTCCTATACAGATTACAGCCTGGGAAACCCTATGGGGCTGTTCTAGTCTATCCTTTAGAGTTGAGATGGGTTAGAATTGACATGATGGCAGTGGGTTTGGCTTTCTGGATTTGAATCTTTGTAGTAGATTTCCACATCTTTCTCTGGAAGAACCAATAGGGTTGGAATCACTAAACTTTGGATCAACTTAGCCACTTAGCCACCAGGTTTCCTTTCATATGGTTCCTGTGAAGATTAAATGACTCAACTTGTGAAAAGGGCTTAGAATACTGCTTGACACATAATATTAATGCTCTGTAGATATTATCATCTACTGAAGCTAAACTTTCTTATGGATTTTACTTCCCCCTCTTGTTTATAATGTTTCTTATTTGTGGTCATGTATCTTTCAATAACTAAGCATTAAGAGGAGTCCTGGTATGGCACTACAGGATAAGCACTGGACTGCTTACCACAAGGTTGGCAGCTCAAATACACCAATTTGCTCTCGAAAACCCTATAGAGAGTCACTATGAGTCAGAACCGATTCCATGGCACTTGGCAACAATAAGCATTAAGGAGTTCTTGGGAGGTGCGGATGGTTACGTGTTTGGCTACTAATCAAGATTTTAACCTACCCAGAGGAATTTGGAATCTGGGGAAAAGGTCCAACAATCTGCTTCCAAAAAGCCATGGCTATGAAAACCCATTGTAACACAATTCTATGCTGAATCACATGGATCGCCATGAGTTAAGGTGATTAAGAATGACTCCACCACAATTTGGGGGGCTGTTGTGTCTACTGTAGTTGTTTTTCAAGCTTTAAGAGTAGCCTCTTAGAGCCTTTGTTAGCCCTAGAGGAGTTCAGCAGATGTTTTATTCATCTTCCAAATCAGAGGCCTCCAGTGTTCTTACAGATCCAGGAGCGATTGCTGTTGTTTTTAAATGTGAAGTCAATTCTGACTCATTGCAACACCATTGGTATGGCTGGTGAGTTTGAACCATCAACTTTGCTGTTAGCAGTCCAGTGCTAATCCTACAGAACCATGTTAGAACTCCATCTGTTAATCTCATTTATTGAATACATTGCAGATAAAAGAATCCAGCAAAACTTTAAAGTTAACTGGCAACTTTATTAATGACAATAGCAACTACACGTTTGAAAACACATGTGTGGGAGACATACAATAATGTCTGGAATGAATTTGGATTCCTGAAATCTTTGCAATAACTCCAAAACTCCTTAGTCAAAAGCAGAGGTGCCTGTCAGTCTTCAGTAAAATCAAGGTTTGGAAAGTCACAACATAAAATTAAAATGCGATTGTCCTCACAACTAATGATGCACAACAGGTGGGCAATGCTAGCTATATGGTTCTGGACCAATCACTTAACTTCTCACAACCTCATCTGTAAAAAAAAGGGGGCATTAGCCATGCAGTCCTGCCTGCCTCATAGAATCTCCAGAACAGCAAATGTAATCATGTAAATTAAAATCTCATCTCAGTGGAGAACAGAGAATTAGGATAGCAGAGGGAGACAGAAAAGGAGAAAGTGGGGAAAAGCTAATTTTGCTTTCCAGAGACACACACTCTGATTTTAATGAAAATACTGAAGAGGTTACTGTAGCCTGAAACTTACCGTTGCCACGGACTCCACAGCACTTAACAACTGTAGGCACTTAACAACCATTGCCACATCTCCTTTAGGGCAAAAATAATCTTAACACAGGCCCCTCCCAGTAGTTGTGTTCAGGTGACTAGGAAGTGTCTTGGGGAACTCCAAAAACATTTCCATTCTCATCGTGCCTCTAGAGACATCTACTGGAAAGAAACCGTACCCTTCCACATCAAAGGAAGCAATTAAGAGTGGGAATGGAGAAATGAATTCAACAAATATTCATTCAGCAGTGTTTGAGTCACTAGGGTGCTGCGCAACTGCAAAGTCGGTTTGAATCACAAAGTCAGTTTGAACCGCAAAGTCAAACTCACCAGCTGCTCCTCGGAAAACCTATACAGGGTTGCTATGGGTTGGAACCGACTCGCTGGCACTTAACAACAATGAAGTCCTGCTGTGGAGCTTTAGAATAAACCTGGACTGATAACCGCAAGGTCAGCGGTTCAAACCTATCAACTGCCCCTTGGAAACCCCTGTACTGGGTTGCGACTCTACGGCACTTAACATGTGTCAGGTACTGATTGACAATGAAGCTGCAGTGGAGAATCAGGCCAATAAAGTTTCTAGTTTTCGAGGACTTGCAAGCTGGTTGCAAGAAAACAAACGAACTAGGCAACTTCAGACAGCCGGATACGAGGAAGATAAAACGCATAAGCACAAAAGGAATGCAAATCCCTGAATAGGAGATCCGGGTCTCTGCAAAGTGACTCTCGAGCCCAGATCTAAATGATCAGTGTCTGGTGTCCTGGTGTCGCTGCAGTGACGCAGCATTCCGAGCAAAGATAGACTTAAATGCAAAAAATGATCCACAAACCAGAAATAATTTGGATTTTAACGAGCTGAAGAAAGCGGGCAAACCCAGTCTATCAATTCCAGCAGTTAGATTTTAAATATCTGTTCCTCCAATTAGAGGAAAGCAGAGACTCGGACACGCCAGCTCCGCCCTCAGTTCCGCAAACAGCCACCTTGCAGCGCAGAACTGGCGATACAAGCAAACCGCTACCCGTCTCTTGGGAACATTTTTGTCTTAAGTAAACCTTTGTCTTTATTATTCACGGGACCCACACTTGTTCCCCTAAGGACGTTTTTGTTTTGTTTTTAAGAGAACCAGCCGAGACATTTCATTTTAGAACATCAATTATATACCCCAACAAATCCGCCAAGGTACAATAGTGTTGTTAAGTGCCGTTAATCAGTTCCGACCCATAGCGACCCCGTATAGTTGAGAATCAGCTAGTGGAGTTGAACTGCTGACCTTGTGGTTCCCAGTCCAGTGCCGATCCTACCAGCGTCACATCATTAAGTCTAATAGCGTATAGACTGGTGGTCAATTCGGATACTTTCATTTACACCTGACTCGGTTCAACACACGAAGTGGTTAAAAGGCATCCTAGATTCAAAATCAAAGCCAGTCACGCGCTGGGACCATCCAAAGGTCTTAAAAGCTACGTATGACATCTGTAAATGGCTACAATAGCTTACTTGGTGACAAGTATGTTAAATGGTAAGTGAATAAAGCTCTTTTTTCTGGTGATTACGTGGTGGCTCTGAAAAGAGCCTTTGGAGCAGAGACCGGCAACTCGTTGAGAACCGCGTCCCGGTAAGGGACTCACTTGGAGCTGGTATACTTGGTGACGGCCTTGGTGCCCTCGGACACGGCGTGCTTGGCCAGCTCGCCAGGAAGCAGCAGGCGCACAGCAGTCTGGATCTCCCGGGACGTGATGGTCGAGCGCTTGTTGTAATGCGCCAGGCGGGACGCCTCGCCGGCGATGCGCTCGAAGATATCGTTGACGAAGGAGTTCATGATGCCCATGGCCTTGGACGAGATGCCGGTGTCAGGATGGACCTGTTTCAGCACTTTGTACACGTAGATGGAGTAGCTCTCTTTGCGGCTGCGCTTGCGTTTCTTACCATCTTTTTTCTGGGCCTTGGTGACGGCTTTCTTAGAGCCCTTCTTAGGAGCGGGAGCGGATTTCGCAGGCTCAGGCATTGTGTAACACAATACAACTAAGAAAAGTATGTGAATGGGCGGACCTGATCATTTTATAACTATCTTATGCAAATTAGGTCTCTAAAACTCTTTCGTTTCCATTGGTCCAAATAGTAAGCTTTCGTTGTCAGTAGTAGCTACGTAACAACTACGACTGTTGACTTTATTGGCCGCTTCAGAAGCCAATTTAGGACCAATGAAAACCTCGTTTCTGGCCCCACCCCTGGGAAAGCTTATAAAAGCTTTCTCATTGCCATTTACATTACTCTGTTTTGTTGCGAGGTTTTAGGGTTGTTTCTGTGTGGTCTTGGTTTCTGCAATGTCGGGACGTGGAAAGCAGGGAGGCAAGGCTCGCGCCAAAGCTAAGTCGCGCTCGTCCCGCGCTGGTCTTCAGTTCCCGGTGGGCCGAGTCCACCGCCTTCTCCGCAAAGGCAACTATGCTGAGCGGGTGGGAGCTGGCGCGCCAGTCTATATGGCAGCGGTTCTGGAGTACCTGACGGCGGAAATCCTGGAGCTGGCAGGCAACGCTGCCCGCGACAACAAGAAGACCCGCATTATCCCTCGCCACCTCCAGTTGGCCATCCGCAACGACGAGGAGCTGAACAAGCTGTTAGGCAAAGTGACCATCGCCCAGGGCGGCGTTTTGCCCAACATCCAGGCTGTACTATTACCAAAGAAAACCGAAAGCCACAAAGCCAAAAGCAAATGAAGTTTCTGACAATAAGCCAAAGAACAAAGGCTCTTTTTAGAGCCACCCAAGTTTTCAAAGAAAGAGCTAATGCGCTGTTTTGTGGTCAGCCCTTAATTTGACACTTTAGTGGCTCTTAAAAGAGCCTTTTGGTGTGAGTGAGGGTAGTACCCAAACCTCTTCTACTTCTTGCCAGGTTTGTGGCTCTCCGTTTTTTTGGGCAACAAGACAGCTTGGATATTTGGCAAGACGCCGCCCTGGGCAATAGTGACACCCCCGAGTAACTTGTTGAGTTCTTCATCATTTCTCACGGCCAGTTGCAAATGGCGAGGAATAATGCGCGTCTTCTTGTTGTCGCGGGCAGCGTTGCCTGCCAGCTCCAATATTTCCGCCGTCAGGTACTCTAGCACCGCCGCCATATAAACTGGCGCGCCGGCCCCCACCCTCTCGGCATAGTTCCCTCTGCGGAGAAGGCGGTGGACTCGGCCCACCGGGAACTGAAGGCCAGCGCGGGACGAGCGCGACTTGGCCTTGGCGCGAGTCTTGCCTCCCAGCTTTCCACGTCCTGACATTATAGATACAAATGTAGTTACAACCTCTTTTTCAAAAAGGCTGTGGAGAGGATCGCCAATTTGAAGTAATTTATAAGCCCTATCGGGAGGGGTGAAAGGAAGTAGTTTGATTGGCTGAAAGGGTCCGGATAAACAGCCAATGGGAAAGCAAAAAACAGACTCTTCCTTTGCATCCTGCAAGAAGAAATGACGGATTTCGTGAGAACCTACCAATCACTGGGAGCCACATTAAAGCCTCATATTTGCATGGCAGGGTTTTTAAAGCTAGGCGGCTTTCAAACAAAACGCTGTTTCTTTTTTAGTAACTGGCAATTTGTAGGTATTTTTCCCAATTTAAAGCAGGGAAATACCAACAAGGGGCGGTAAAGACTGCAGAGGGTCTCAAGCAGATGCAAACAGTTACTTCCATTCAAGGGTGGTGTTGTGTGCCGTGGAGTCGGTTCTGACTCAGCGACCCTACACAGGGTTTCCGAGGCTGTTAATCTTTACGGGAGCAGAACGCCTCATCTTTCTCCTGCGGAGCATCTAGTAGTATCGAACTGCTGACCTTGAGGTTTGCAGCTCGATTCGTAACCACTACGCTGCAAATTCGATTATACCTTGAACCCTAAATTATCCTCCAAGCCCCTCCCTTTTTGGCTTGTCACAGCCAAATTTCTTGAAAGAATCCTAAGGACTCCTTTTTTACCAATTCAGACTTTGGCTGCCTTGGGGCTTCCGCCCACCTGCGCTTCTGTCTCCCGGGATCGGTTTGACCAAGTGCTGAATAAATTCATCGTTCTTTTAGACCTGCAGGAGGCGTCCGATACCTCTTGAAACAGTCTCTTGATTTTAAAAGTTCGCCCTCCAGTTTGTCCTCTTACCTCAGACATTCCTTATCCTGCCCTTACCGAAATGCACTTATCCATTGCCTGTCTTTGCTTTCCTCAACATTCTTCACCCTTCCTGAGGAATCTTTCCTACTTACATGCTTTCAGCTAACGTCTAAATTTGTTCAGGCCCTATGCCTAGCTGATTACAGAACACTTAAGCCGATTTGTCTCAACAAGTGCTTCCAGCAGTACCTACCCAAACTGAATTCATCCAAACAGTCCCACGCTTCTCTCTCTTTTTTTCCTTGAATTGCACCAACAACCCTATAGGTACCCAAACCAGAATCCTCGTATCGTACGTATTGCTAGGTGCAGTCAAGTTGGTTCTGACACCTAGTGACCCTACGTACAGCAGACCTAAACACTGCCTGATTCTGTGCCATCCTCACAACCATTGCTATGTTTGAACCCACTGTTGCAGTCACTGTCAATCTAAGGGTCTTCCTATTCTTCACTGAATGGTCATGATGTCTTTCCTCTGACACTGGTCTCTCCTGATGCCATATTAAACAGATATGTGACAGTCTCACCATCATGTCCAAGGAATATTCTACCTGTACCTCTTCCAACAGAGATTTATTCCTTCTTCTAGAAGTTCATGATACATTTAATATTTTTCATCAACACCATAATTCAAATGCATCAATTTTTCAACAGTCTTCCTTACTCACTAACCAGTTTTTGCATGCATATTGAAAATACCATGGCTTGTCTGTCACCTGCACCTTAGTCTTAAAAGTGACATCTTTATTTTTTAACACTTTAAAGAAGTTTTTTTGGAGGGCTAGGTAGACACATTACACCGACCCTCTCTACACCAATGACATGAAAGATCAAATAAAACAGAAACAAATGAAGATTCTGGAATCCTGAACTTCAGAGGAAAAGTTCAACAAGTGGATTAAGTACTTGCTGGGAGGGGAAGCATGAACTGCTGGCCAGGTAGGGTGCAACCATCTTGAACATTTGTGAATAACTTTGACAACAGAAGGTGGCCTGGCACAGCAGATTCAACAGGTGACTGGAAAGGTAAGATTCCTTCTTTCCCACCCAACACTTCCCTGGTGATCAGCTCCCATCCTCATCCACCCCTAACACAGAGACAGACCCTGCTTTCTGGGAGTTCTGAGCCACATTGTTGGAAACCACACCAGTGTGAGGCAGGGACCAGCTGCACTGCTTTGTTGAGCTGCTTTGGTGTCTGGTTTTTGTTTTGTTTTGTTTTACTTTTTATTGTGAACAAGTAAAGGATTACAGAGCAAATCATCAGTCTTACATTGAAAAAATCTTATACTTTGCTTCATTACAATGATTGCAATCCTCTCCATGCACCAACAGTTAACAGTGTTTACCTTCATTCACTTTAACAATTGCATTCCTGCCTGTGTCTCCCACTACCTTCATCTTTCCTCTGCTAACCTCCCTCTTGTGATACATTGTCTGCCCTGTCACCCATGTTAACATGTGTCTACCCTCTCACCTGTGAATAATTTTCACCCCCTTGCTCCCCCTTTTTAAAAAATTTCTTCCTTTCATTTCCACTCTTATTTTTGTCTTTGTATAGCTCCGTTTTCCTGTCCCTCTTTTGTCTTTATAGTTATTATATACTTTTTCTCTGTTTGCTGTCTGTTTTTATCCCTTATTTTTCTCTTTATTATTTTGTTTTAGTTGTTGGTTCCTTGTTTACTTATACTGTTTTGTTTTCTCCTGTGGCGTGGGGAAGGGTTTTCTCTTACGTACCAGACAAGCGACAGCAACCATGCCAATGCAGCCTAGCCACCAACAGAGTAAGAGCCAATACCAGCTCCTATACCACCTGATCAATGTAAGCAACAACCAACACCAGCCAAACCCACCCTAAACTGAGGTGCACAAATGGAGAACTAAGTACATACTTCTATTCTCTAACTGCACCCACAGTAGACAGTTGGTGAGAGCCTAAGAACACATCAACATTTCAGTCATCACTTAAATACAGACATGCCAATACCACACTATCTGGAAACAACAGAAGAAATGAAAGAATGGCTCAAATAAATAACCAAGATGCAAAGGCAGAAAACATTTCAGAGGAAGATAAGGTAATGGAATTAAATGAAAAAGAATTCAAAAGAGTGATATTTAGGTACCTTCAGAAGACTGACAGACAAAGATTGAAGAAAGCTAGGAAAACACAGAAAAAAAAACTTCAGAAGAATTTAGGAAAACACTACAAGAATAAACAGACAAAATAAAAACAAATTTTGAAACAAATCAAAAGCAGCAATTAGAAATCCAGATTGTTAATAATAAGATCTCAGAAATGGTCAATACATTGAAAGGACAGAGTAGATGTGAAGTAATGGAAACCCGAATTATTGAGCTTGAAAATAAATCTCTGGACACTATGATGCTAGAACAATCAGACAAGAATGAAAAAATCTTTAGAAATCTTAATAGTTATGTGAGACACCATGAAGAAAAACAACTTACAGCTAATCGGAGTTCCAGAGACAACAAGCACAAGGGAAATTGTCCAAGAATTGTTGGAAGAAAACATCCCTGATATCATGAAAGATGAGAAGATAAACATACAAAAAGCTGAATCAACCCCCAAACAACATAGATCCCAGAAGAAAATCACCAACACATATCATAATCAAACTTTCCAAAACCAAAGACAAAGAAAGTATTATGATAGCAGCACAGGAAAAACAAAAAGGTACCTACAAAGGAGAACCAGTAAGACTAAACTCTGATTTCTTAGCAGAAACCATACAGGCAAAAAGGCAATGGATGACATATACAAAACTCTAAAAGAATAAAATTGCCAACCAAGAATCATATACCAAGCAAAACTGTCCCTCAAATGCAACCACAAAATTAGGACATATCCTGTTAAACAGAAATTAAAGGAATTTGTAATGACCAGACCTACTTTACAAAAAAAAAAAATGCTAAAGGATGTTCTTTGGACTGAGAACCAACAACCTGAGATTACCATACATGACACCACCACCCAGAACTTAATCCAGATATAAAAGTATTAGAAGTAAAACAAACCTACAAGAATGAAAATAGGGAACTAGAGATACCAATTTATAATAAAGTCAACTACAAAACAAAAAGAGGGGAACCTTTACTTATGGTTGTAGTAGCTCTAAATACCAACTGAGAGGGAAGGACTCTTCATATCAAGGATCAAGCATATCCCCTCAGTACATATGGTTAATAGGGTCAGGCAACTTAGACATTAGCTACCTAACTAAAATGGTGTGTGTGTGTGTGTGTGTGTGTGCTATAAAGGCACAAAGTGGATGGCTTACAGGTTTTCAAGAGGGAGTTCAGTTTCAAAGTGAGCAGGGTAAGGTAGAATTCCCACTGAATAGTTTTCATCTTGTCTAGATGGGTCTGGTGAAAGGAGATGGGAATAAGATTCTTTTGATTCAATAGTGAGTAATTATTATCATGACTAATTGCAATTGTCACAACTGTAAAGGTAGAAGTTGTGTAACAAAAAAGGAGGAGTAGTTAATCTTACATTCCAGGAACAGAGGACCCTAGGACCATCAAGAGAGAAGAGCATGAGCAGAACATGGGCTCCTAACCAGAGCAGCAGAGACAACAGAGATGGAGGCAGAGGTGATAACATGGAGAGATAGAGCAGCTGAGGACTCTAGACTCATGAAAAGAGAAAGGCTGTGTGCTAGCAGCTTGGAGGCTGGCTTGCTGAATATGCACTTTGATTGTTTAAATAATTATATATTCCTGCGTATTTTTGTGTACATCAAAAAAAAAAAAAAAAGAGGCAAATCCTGTTAACTGACGGTGCATGGGAGGGATTATAAGCATTGCAATAAAACAAAATATGATTGGTTGAGTGCAAAACTGATGTTCTCCCATGTAAAATATCACTCAATTCACAATAAAAGCTTTAAAAAAAACAACCCTGCGTCATAGAAATTCTGCCAAGTTGCCAGCCTGCCAGCCTGCCAGCCTGCCCTACAGATTTTGGACTTGCCAGCCCTTACAATTATATGATCCAATTCTTTAAAATCATTCAATCTCTCTCTCATACAGTATGTGTGTGCAGAGGAATGTATGTATTGATTCTGTTTCTGTGGAAGGAGAACTCTGGTCAATAAAATG